AGGAGCCTGGTGACACCTTTTCCAATTCACAAATTTTATTAAAAGGAGGAAGCTGCAGCTCACAAAAGTTTATGCTTTTTAATAATTTTTTTGAATAGGAGAAGGTGCTACCAGACTCCTGATTTTTTACAACGTGTTCCAGGGTGCTTGAAAGAAAATATGCAGATGTCAGAATTGAGTGGACTGATTCAGGATCAAGTCGCTCACTCTGGATTTCTAACATTTCTCTTTGTTTAAATGCTTTCAGAACAGTTGAAGTCCGCACAACTTCAAGTTGTTGAGGTTGAGAAACACTGGCTTAGATCACTGCACAGGGAAAACTGAGCCAAATTCAAAAATCGAGACACCTGTAACTTGCTGTATTCTCGGAGGCAGTTGACTGGGCCACGCCAAGCACGAGATGCAATAGGACAGGGTAGCTCAACATCTCCAATGCTAGGAGACAAAGCTCACTGGCCTCTTAATGAGCAATTAACAGCCCTTGTAATGCAGCAAGACAAACCTTTATATTGTTATGGAGAATGGATACCCAAATAGAACCTGCATGTTCTGAAGCAATATATCCCTGAGCACCAGGTGGTGGAGTCAAGCAACAAGGAGTCCTCCTCCTCCTGGCCCCATTTGCGATTTCCCTGAACCATCTGGGCAGTCAATTCCAGAAACAGGGACCTCCAATGGTGCCCGAATCCAAACTGAGCCCCAAACCAACCCTTGCATTTGCACACCAGGGAAAACAAGAGGAGAAACTAAATTGAAATATTTCCTTTTATTTATTTAACAAACACTATCATCTTGAGTTCTGAAGAATGTGTATTGAAAGAAAGAAAAAAAATAAATTCTTTGCTTTACAAAACAAAAAAAAAGGAAAAGAAGAAGCAGCTGATGGAAGAGGAGGGAATAAGTTTAAAAAAAACAACAACATATGTACAGACTGGAAAACTTGCCTAGCTAAGGAGGGAGAGAGAAAAATAAAAAAGGAAGGGAAAATCTCAGTGGGGACTGGCTTGGTGGGGATAAAAGCCAAAGAAGTTTAACACGCAATTAAATTAGAATACAAATACTGAGAGCCCTAACTCTACTTGGTGGCTGTAGAAGCAGATTGCAATCTATACAAGAAAAATTCAATTCAGACCCTTTAGGGGGTCCGAAAGACAGTGTGTGATGTGTGTTTAAAACATAGCAAACATATTGCTTAACTTTTGAGATGTTTGACTGTAAAAATATTAGTTGGTGAGAGCCGGGGAGGGGAGGGGAGGGGAGAACAGTGGAGCAATGTAAAGAAGCAGGAAGGTCCAAGGAACGACCGTTTTCTTCCTTCATCTATCTTCCTCATCTTGACTTCAGAAGAAAGTGTTGGGCCTGCGTCTTTCTGCTTGGTGCTGCATATCCCAGGGGCTCTTTAAGAGTTCCTCCTGAGCAGTGTTTCTCAACCTTGGCAACCTGAAGATGGGTGGACTTCAACTCCCAGAATTCCCCAGCCAG